TGCATTTTTGTCTCATCCCTAGGTGGTATGGTTTATTACAGATAATGGTTTCACCATTTTGAAATTGCTTGTCTAAAAATTTCAGGCTTTCACATTCTTGTGTAAGAACTCACAACTCCCAAATAGGCAGAATTGTTAAAAAATCTGGGCAAAAGATTAATCTGTCACGACCCGATAGGTTAGCTTCGAAAGCATATCAGAACAGTTATATACTTGCCATCAGATTCTAAAAATGAACTACTAAAAACATGCAGTGACCTCTAAAGTTCTCACTGCTTTCATGACCTGATTCATCTAGGCACTGGTAGGGTTTTGGCTGTAGGCAGAACTGTGTTCCTAGTGCAGATCTCAAAGGGTCTCTATTTCCAGTAATAGCAGTAGGGCAGAGTCCACTTAGTGCCATCACCTGTATGCAAACGTTTGAAGATTTTTTTTTTCTTTTTTTTTTTTAAATAAAGAATTGAAGATTGCTTCCCACATCCAAGGCTGCTGTATTTTGGGCCTGGGCAACACAGCTAATCTTTCAGACAGCAACTACTTTTTGCTGTAATCAGTATTGACTCTGAGAGGCATACAGATATTTGTTGCAAAGCATGTCCCTTTGACGTATCAGAAGTTCCCAAATTTATTTGACAATACCAACTGTTCTACTTAGACTTTATTTTAGGTTTTGTTGTGTATTCCATTAAAAAAAATGTGGTGGTCCTATTCTTAAAGGATATCATAAAACACATTTATGTATGTACTTAGTACTTCATTTAAATAATCACACAGATAATTCCTCTTATAAAATTACTTTATCAGTGAGGCATTTGGTCTGATAGCATAATTCTAACCTTCCTTAGAAGAGCTTCTATTTCTGCCCAATAATTATGAATAAGAAAATGAATTAGACTCTTAAAACCCAAAGGACTTAAATGCCATTAGCACTTCAACAACCACCAGTAAATTCAGGAAATGCGAAGTAAAGCACTAACTGCAAATGCAGGTTTTATGATTTTCTTCAAAATCATAGCATAGATGTCAATGTCCTGTGGTAATCATTCTTTTAAATGTCTTGCTGGTTGCCGATTACTGCCACAACCTTATCATGATTCAATATTACTTTATTTGTATCAGTCATTTACAGTAAGCTGACAGACAGAATTATTTATCAGACTCATTTTGGCAAGGTATGTTCACAATGTATCCCCAAACCTGATGGTGTGGGGTAACTCATTTGTCACAGATCACATTTAACAACCATAAGGATGACTACCTTTAACAACTGTGTTCTAATATGCATACTTGCTCAGGTACCATAAATTCGTAGTTGTTCCTTTATTATTCAGTGCGTTGCTCATGTTGAAATCCTGAGTTCCACCAGGAATATTGATGGGCAGCAGAACAGCTGGCCTTCCCTTCAGGTCCCTCTGATTTTTCATCACAGGTGTTGTATGAATGGTAGATTCCCAACACCACAGCAAAAATTATTATCGCAGCCACCACAAGCCATACCACATTCCAGTGTTTACACAGTTTGGGGTACAGTATATGTAAATAATTAATGATGACTTCAAGTCTGCTGTAAAATTAAAAGAAAACTGTTATATATTCATCACATGCAAATTTATTATCTTAAGCTTTTCAATTTAAGAAGTTTCATAGTTGTATGGTGCAAATAGAAACACATTGTCAAAGAAGAAGTCTTAAGTTCTTTTAAGAACAGCTGTACACTCAGATATGGGTAATATTTGCAAGTCGGCTGAAGATGATAAACTTGACTTCTATTTCTCCCACCTGTTAACTGACAAATCTCAGAGCTTGTTTTCATGTAAAATTCTGCACTTTTCATAGCTTGCTCAACTAAACTAAACATTAGGACACGTTGTAAACATTTCTTCCTAAATGTTTAATGACTTGTGAGATGGCTGCTCTTCTGAATATGGCTGAAATCTCAACAGATGTTTATAACCATAATGGTTATGGAATGGAAATGAATTCTTCTGGATCAGGTAAGGATCCTTACCTTACTAGCTTGGGATTGGACATATCACTTGTTTTGGTCAGCATTCAATTCCTCTCTAATGCAAAAGTCTCTTTGCTTTTAAAATGCAGGAAATTGCAGGTATATTGAATTGAGTGGTAGAACCACAAAGGAAACTCAATGATTAACTCTAAGAAAAGCTGAAAATTTCAGAAAAGTTTTCCAGTTAGGCATCAATGCTTCAGGTAAGACAATAAGCAGAGGATTCAGAAGTTCCCAGTATAGCTGAAGAGCATTGGGTGCAGATGGATGCAATAAACATCTCCCTGATGAAAGGCAGGAACTCCAAAATAGTGCTGTTCTGCCATATCTACACAGCTTCCAGAGGGAGAAAGCACCTGCCTGCCCAAGTCAGAGCTAGTTCAAAATAGCTGTGGAGCTTGTCTTAATCTGCATTCACCTTGTACATACTGAAAGACTCACCTGTGAAGACCCTTTGGGAGTGACACGTAGCACAAATACAGGCATCAGATTCCTGAATTACTACTTTAATGAAACAATGCATGTCTACTGAGAGATATGTTCCAGCATCTAAAGAACTTCTGTGGAATATTTTTTATATCAAATCAAAACCAAACCCCATTAAGATGAAGCATCTTGATGTCAACATACAATTTTAGTTGAAATATCAAAATAGAAAGTTTTGCATTTTTCAACTATGCTATCTTGGAATATGCCTTTCTGTGAAAACACTATTATTTCAAATGTGCTTCCCTAGACTGGAAGAAAACATGTGAAGATAATAGTATAAAACACGTGGTTGGGTACCCCACATAGAAAAAAGTGTCTCCTCTTGTATGGACATATTACACCATTGACTCACCTGCTTTGCAGGTTTTTTATCTCATCTTCATTTTCACTTTCTTCATGTTCATCATGACTTTCTTTTGGTGTTTCTTCATCTTCTTCCTTCAGTTCCTGAAGTTCTTTGGTTTTCTTCAAGCCTTCCTGATAGCTTTAACACACAAAATTTTTTTTTAGTCTAGCATGTTGTATAAGCCTGTTCCTATGTAATGAAAAATTAGCTTTATGTTTTGTTACATGCAATAAAACACAAGTAGCAGAGTTGCACCACTCAGACAAGAGTAAAAATTAGCTAAAGACCATGAGTAGGGCACATAGACAGCCACCCTTCCTTAATAGGGGATTATATTGGGTCTGTTACCAAATTTATCTTGAAAAAGAGGTTATAGTCCTCACCAGAGAACAAATTTTTAAAGGAGTTAGTAAGCATTTATATTATTTTTTGATCATTTTGAACATCCTCTAGATAATTTTTTTTTTTCCTGGAGAGTAAGTGCAAATCAATGGTCTAGAGAGCTTGTTGGATTCTGCAGGGGAGGATCAAAATTTTTGTCTCACTCCTCACATAGTACAAAATTCTTTGCTTGATATTCAGAAACAGATCCCAAAGCTGTTAATTGCCCCCAAATATGCTGTGTTTGTGACACAGACAACATGAGTTTATTGCAAAAGTTGATACTTAGTGTTTACTCATATCAATTGTGTCACTTATTTTGCATTTAAAATTACATTATAAAAACATATATCCTCATCTGGTAGCACATGTTTACAGATTTAGTACACATAAGATATTCCCACCCTTTGTTATATGCTTCTTCTTCTATCTTGGCTCTTGTTTCAGGACTGATTTCTTCCAACCCACTCTGTGTCAGCACAGAAGTAGAGGTTTCAGAATCAGGCTCTCCATTAGTCTTACCACTGCCAATACAAAAGAAAAAGACAAATAGAAAACACCACTACTGAGAGGTATTGTATTTGGAGTATACTACTGAACAAAAACAATCACATGCAATTTTGTGACTCCTCATTTTTCTTTTTTAATGTGCATCAGAGAAATAAAATGTCTTTCAAAAGGAAAAAATCAAACACTAAGCAAAATTTATTTTCAAAATGTTGTAATTTAAGAACAGTAATTAATATGTTTCTAAGCTATTAAAATTTGCATTTTGTTTCTTCTTTTTTAACAAAGAAAAGAGCATTTGTTTCCTGGCTTATCCTTGGCATTTATTTGCTACTTTTTAAAACATCTCCCTCAACTTTCTAAAAAATCACCTTAGAAATTGTAGCCTGTTACATCAGAGGAAAACAATAGAAATAATACCAAATATTAATTTAAGAAATATTTTTCTTATTTGCCTGTTAGGTACTCCTTCCT